ATTTATGGAAGCGCGATCTTTATTGCCCGATATATCTCTCTGGCCGCACGGTTTACGGCCTTGCTCCGTCGATTGCTCAATTTCGTGACTACAGCTGTGTGTCTCCCTCCTCTCCACGCACGAACGCTCGCTGGGTTATGTATATACCGCAGCAGCCCTGTCTCTACAACATACGTATTGGCACGACGGCTGCACCAGGCTGCCAGCGCGGGAGGCCATCGCTATCAGTCTCCCCGGCGAATCCACGACCAGATAAAAATCAAGAGGCTCGAATTTAAAACTGACTCGGCGTCGCGTGTATTCGTTCCGTACACACACTCGCGCGCGCAGGCACACACACGCTCGCACACGCACGCACTTATATATTTCTGCGTTTTATAAGCGCCCGCAGGCTACAACATACACGAGTGGCAACGTTAGCTGGCGTTTGTACGTTATTGTTCGATTGTGGGCCGATTGTTAGCTCGCGGGGTGGGGTGGGGGAGGTGAGTTAAACAGAATGATGTCGGCGTATAATCGCAGCGAAGGAAACGGAATTTCCCGTCGGCGTTCGATCGGAGACAATAGCGGAGAATTGAGCGCTCTCGCGGAGTGTTGTGTCGACATGCGGAACGTTACGGTTACGTACACAGCGACGTATCGTCGGCGCGCTGCAGCGATATGTATGCACAGTATATGCATGCGCAGCGCGGTGTTTGCTCTCGATACAGACGATAGAATGCGCGTGTGTATGCGTGCGTGCGTGCGCGTGCATGTGTGTATGTACGCGCGTGCGTGCATGCATGTGCGCGGCTGTATGCGTGCATGTGTGTGTGCGCGCGCGCGTATAACAATATGTACGTCCGTGTGAGTGCGTGTCTGTTTGTATCCATGCCAGCCGCGCTCGGAATATAGGATGGTCGCTCATCTCATCATCACGACGTCCAGCACGCTAGCAGCCGAATAAGTTTTCGGCGTGTCGCCTCCAAAAACGCTCGAGTTAAAACATTTAGTAGACAAGAGAAAAGGAGAAAGAGAGAGGAAGAAAGCGGGAGAGAGAAAGAGAGATAGCGCGCGAGCGAGAGCGTGAATCAGAGGGAGAGAGAGAACAAGCCAGAAGCGAGAGAGAGAGAGAGAGAGAGACTGTGTGTGCATATGTGTTTGCGCGCGCGTGCGTGCCTGTGTGCGTGCGTATGTGTTTGCGTGTGCGTGTCTCCGCGCGCGTGTATAAATATGTGTGCGTGTGGCGGTGTGGTATTACAATGAGCTACGAGCGAAGACGCTCGAATGTTCCCCCATCATTCCTCGTTTTTATCGTCCTGACTTTTCTAATGACTCCAATCCCAGAAAATTATTGCGCTGAACCGGTTTCCTTTCTGTTGCGCTGACGCAGCGCGCTCGCAGCAGCACCACTGAATGAACCCGCTGCGCACACACACGCGCATCATTGTACGCCTGCACAAAGAGCGCAGTCGCGAGAGGAAGGGGTGCGCAAGCCGCAAGCCGCACCGCGTGAGATGCACAGCGATCACATCGCTGCATCGTTTCGCTGTTATGTTCCGAGTAGATTTCCTGCGTGTATAGTGAGTGGGCAGTTACGAGTGCAGTTGGATAGCGTGTTGGTTGGATAGAACGGCTAGTCGTGGTTTTATCGAGGCGGGCGGGTGAGGGAAAGCTTATTTTAAAGCATTGTAGTTCCCTAAACAACAAACTCGCGGTAAACATATAGTGTGATGCCAGCGCCATCAGCTTCACCAATACCGACATCTGCATTTTTCGTGTTTCGCAAAACCAAATTTCCAGATAGTAATCAACTAGTCGTACTAGGCCTGTTTGATAACCGCGAACGAACGCGTGCGTCTAATATGTATATTGATTTAAAATCGTTTAATGACAGCATAACTATAACGCTAATTTCTAACGCTAATGCTGAGCCTAACACCAGCTCTAATCACAATCTAACCCTAACGCCTATAACCGAGATACAGATTCTATATTATACGGACCCGCGATTTGATCAACCTACCTTTAATATACAAGTTTCCATCCCGCGTTGTATTCACTTGTATTCTAATATCGACATTGTCTATATAATTGCACATGTCCTCTTTGCAACACAAGACCATCGGCCATTTTCCTTCACCGCCATCTTTGGCCTTGCTGCCGTTTAGATGGACGCACGTCTCCCGTTCCTGCGGGTCGGCGAGCATTCCACTGCAGCCATGATGAGACTTGGCAATGTCTAGTTCGTTTGCTATCCGGCTGAAGCAAGCGCCATGATGTGCCTTGCACATGTAGCCGGTGGCAACGCAAGCAGGCAAGTTGCAGTAGCATCTGATCTCAGCTGTAATGCAAGAGAGAAATCCGTTGAATATTTGAAGACGCGTGTTTACAACAATTGGTTCTCGTATCATTTCAATACATGGACGGAAGGAAGGACACGTGCGAATGCAAGAGCCTTGGTACAACTTCCTTAAAACGCCACCACACTGCGGCCATATTGGCAGCACTGTCGCGACAGCGAGTGCTGCAACAGTGTTGCCAATTTTTGCACGAGATCAGCAGCATGGCGGCGTTTTTACGAAACCGCACCAATCTCGAGAATTCGTACGAACAGCGGATGCGCGGGATAATGTTTCTTTTATTGGATAGCTACTCGGTAACATGGAAAACAAGGGTCTTTACTTAGCTGAACAGACAACATGCGTTAATATTTTCCACAGGGCGCACGATAATAAACCGAGTGTAACTTAATAGCGTAATTTCTATCGCGAATCTAACGCATCGCGTTCAAGATTCCATCGCGCTATAAAACCCGCTGGCCCGTTTACCCCGACGTTTATAAACGGATCTCATTGTATCTGGTTGCGCATATATACATACTAACATACATGCGCGCACGCACATTCACATGCGTGCACACGCACATACACACACACATACTTATATACACAGCGTGCTCGTGTTGTGTATAAAACAATTCAAACAGCAGGAGCGATATATATATATATATATATATA